GTGAGACCCATCTCTACTAAAATAGAAAGAAAGTAATTAGCCAACTAAAATATATAAAGAACTAGCCGGCATGGTGGTGCATGCCTGTAGTCCCAGCTACTCGGGAGACTGAGGCAGGAGGATTGCTTGAGCCCAGGAGTCTGAGGTTGCAGTGAGCGAGGCTGACACCATGGCACTCTAGCCTGGGCAATCAAGTGAGACTCTGTCTCAAAAACAAACAAACAAACAAACAACAACAACAAAAAAACAGTGCATGGTTCATAGTAAGTGCTATACAAGTATTTATTAAATGAACATATAAAAATACATTTAAAGGTAGAGGTATAAAAAAAAGGTAGGAGTACAATTTCACATTTTAACTTGCAAACACTTTACAGACTATTTTGCATGTGATACGGACTCAATTTATCTGTTAATTACTCTAACATTCAACTATATCTTCCAGGCTCTATGTGATACCTAAGTAATTTTCTATGTAAATATAAACGCAGCTCAGTGCTCACACTTGATTTACCTGGAGGAGCAGTCATATTTAAAAAAGTGCTACTGTACTACTGAAACAATTGGCAAGGACCTCCAATACACACCCATAATAGAAGCTGGCAAATTCTACACCACTGTCACAGGACTTCCCACTGGTATCATTTTCAGTGTACACTGGAATCTTTTTTTTTTTTAAGACAAATCTCACTTTGTCACTCAGGATGGAGTGCATGGTGTGATCATAGCTCACTGTAACCCAAACTCGTGGGCTCAAGTGATCCTCCCACTTCAGCCTTCTGAATAGCTGGGACTATATACATGTCACTATGCCCAGCTAATTCTCTTTGTAGAGACAGGGTCTTGCTATGTTGCCCAGGCTGGTCTCAAACTTGTGGGTTCAAGTGATCCTCCTGTCCTGGCTCCCAAAGTGCTGGACTTATAGGCACAAGCCACTATATGTACATCGCTATGAGCTGAAATCTTAAGCATATTCATATCTGGACATGTGCAATGTCAGAATTAAATACCTAATTATTTGCAGAAATAGGCATCTGTTCTTTCTACTTACCACATTACCTCCTCATTAAGTTATTTTCTTTTCACTTATCCCAATAATATAATAGATCTTAAGTGTGGTCTACAGATCCTCTCTTTAAGTCAAGATAGGAAGCTTCTTTGTATAAAATATTTCAAATATGTAAAAAGTACAGATAATTTCCACCGTAGCTTGTCTCATTCTTGTTCAGGCTGGTCTCGAACTCCTGAGCTCAAAGGATCCGCCCGCCTAGGCCTCCCAGAGTGCTAGGATTACAGGCATGAGCCACTGCGCCCAGCTGAACCATGCATTGTTTTAAGGACTTAAGTTACAAATATTAATTAATTTAATCCAACTAATAACTCCTGAAGTCAAAGAGGTGAATTAATATAAAGAATCAAAAATCTAATGATTCACTCAGCAGCAGAATCAAAGTTACTTACAATTGTCTTTTTTATGTAGTCTCTGTCCTACATGAGCTAAGAAAGCAATATCCAAGTCATCGTGTAAAATAAATTCATGGGCAATATACGTAACCTTAACACTTTTACCCCATAATACGCTAAAATTAAATAAATAAATAAGGCCGGGCGTGGTGGCTCATGCCTGTAATCCTAGCACTCTAGGAGGCTGAGGTGGGCAGATTGCTCAAGGTCAGGAGTTTGAAACCAACCTGAGCAAGAGCGAGACCCTGTCTCTACTAAAAATAGAAAGAAATTAATTGGACAACTAAAAATATATAGAAAAAAGTAGCCGGGCATGGTGGCGCATGCCTGTAGTCCCAGCTACTCGGGAGGCTAAGGCAGTAGGATTGATTGAGCCCTGGAGTTTGAGATTGCTGTTTGAGGTTGAGTTAGGCTGACGCACGGGCAACAAAGTGAGACTCCGTCTCTAAATAAATAAATAAATTTTATATTCCTGCTAACAACCAGCCTTGTAATATAGATCCTAAATATAATTTTCAAGGCCTAATCACAAATAAATAAATAAATAAAATTTATATTCCTGCTAACAACCAGCCTTGTAATATAGATCCTAAATGTAATTTTCAAGGCCTAATCACATTTATTTAAAGCATTCAATGACAATAACAAAAAAGAATTGGACAGTTTCCTGGAGTTTATAAAAATAGAATCAGACCCTTATTTTTATTATCTGCAAGTAAATGGATTAGGGGGAATCAAGAGTGATGATGTCAAAAGATATCGGTCACACTGTTGCTTATCCATCAGCCATATCTTGTATAATGTAAATTCATTTGGTATTGAATAAATGAGGCCCTGCCAACTAAATGTTTCTAGCTAGTCCTATGATTTTGATTAGAAGTGTTTGAAGGTATAACTTGTCTTTGCTGTGCTTGGGTATATTTTTAACTTAATTTTCAAAAGAAATAATAACTGAGGTGATTAAAACTTGAAAACACTTTATTTTCTCACATATTTAAGAAATCAAATCTGGGCTGGTGTGGTGGCTCATGCCTATAATCCTAGCACTTTGGGAGGCTAAGGCTGGAGGATTGCTTGAGGTTAGGAGTTTGAGACCAGCCTGAGCAAGAGCAATACCCTGTCTCTACAAGAAATAGAAAAATTAGCTGGGCATGGTGGCATGCACCTGTAGTCCCAGCTACTCAGGAAGCTGAGGCAGGAGGATTGCTTGAGCCCAAGAGTTTGAGGTTACAGTGAGCTACGGTGATACCACTGCACTCTACCTACCTTGGAGACAGAGCAAGACCCTGTCTCAAAAAATAATAATAATATAAATCAAGTCTATTTTAAAACTTATTTCTCTTCCTTTGCTTTTAACCTCTATAACAGTTGGAATTTTGTTCATTTAATTCTGTATCTGTATAGATTTCCTTCTAATCTGAGTTTGCTGTGGTGATTTCTCATAGATTCAGAGAGGATTAGTGATCTACGTGTGCTTTTTCAAGGGAGCTGATAAAGAACTTCTTCCCAAAATGGGTATGTGTTTGATTTTTTTTTTCTTTTTTAAGAGTGAAAAAGAACAGCAATAGATAAATGAACCGGAAGGAGCAAGAAGTACAATCTTTTTTTTTCCCCTTTTATTTTTAGTTGACATGTAATAATTGTACATATTTATGGGATACAGAGTGATATTTCAATATGTGTATACAATGTATAATGATCAAATCAGGGTAATTAGCATATGCATCACCTCAAATATTTATCCTTTCTTTGTGTTGTGAACATTAAAATCCTCTTTTAGCTTTTTGAAAACATACAATAAATTATAGTTAACCATATTCACCCTAAAGTACTGCAGAACACCGCAACTCATTCCTCCTATCTAGCTATAATTTTGTATCCATTACCAACTTCTCCCCATCCTAAAACGCACAATCTTAAATTGTACTGGTATGTAAGTTATTAATTACTTAACTCTGGCGGGGCATGGTAGCTCATGTCTGTAATCCTAGCACTCTGAGAGGCCCAGGCAGGAGGATCGCTCAAGGTCAGGAATTCGAGACTAGCCTGAGCAAGAGCAAGATCCTATCTCTACTAAAAATAGAAGGAAATTAGCTGGACAACTACAAATATATAAAAAAAAATCAGCTGGGCATGGTGGCACATGCCTGTAGTCCCAGCTACTTGGGAGGCTGAGGCAGAAGGATTGCTTTAAGCCCAGGAGTTTTAGGTTGCTGTGAGCTAGGCTGACACCATGGCACTCTAGCCCAGGCAACAGAGCAAGACTCTGTCTCAAAAAAAAAAACACAACAATTACTTCACTCTGTCTAGTGTTGTTGGCTTTAGATATTTGCCTGTTCCAAGTTTAAAGTAAGCAAGTGTGGTGCAGTTCTTTTGAACCAGCTGCAGCATTGCAGATGGCTTATAGATTGATTTAAAAGAGTAAACTCAGTGCACATCAGCCAAGGATACAGAAACTTATTGGAAGCAAGGTGACCACATAGGGAGAAACAGATGCTGCATTTTTTTTTTTTTTTTTTTTTTTTTGAGACAGAGTCTCACTTTGTTTCCCAGGCTAGAGTTAGTCCCCTGGCATCAGCCTAGCTCACAGCAACCTCAATCTCCTGGGCTCAAGCGATCCTACTGCCTCAGCCTCCCAAGTAGCTGGGACTACAGGCATGCACCACCATGCCCGGCTAATTTTTTATATATATATTAGCTGGCCAATTAATTTCTTTCTATTTATAGTAGAGACGGGGTCTCACTCTGGCTGGTTTCAAACTCACAACCTCGAGCAATCCGCTGGCCTCGGCCTCCCAGAGTGCTAGGATTACAGGCGTGACCCACCACACCTAGCCTGCATTTCTTAATATAGTTTCCTTTATCTCCCAGAGTCCCTAACAGAGGCAGTAATTGACATTTGTACAAGGTGTGGGTCCTGTCAAACCTGGACAACTCAAGCTTATATCATTATTATGGAAGAAATTTGAATTTACCATTTGTGCACTTCTCTTTTGGAAATATGTATAAATATAAAGGTTCTCCCGGTTCTTTAACCAAACTCAATGTAATCACAGCCACACCTCCTCCAGGAAAACAGAAAGCAGAGCCCATGTTCAGAGATCTCTGAATAATAATTTACCTACCTATAGCTTTCTAGTATACTGGACAGTCCATCGTACTGTACATTCCTTGTGATAATTACATAGGCTCAGATATACTAAATCAATTCACGTACTGTCTTAATTATGTATATTGGATTTAACAATTATGTCCCCCCAAAAAACAAAAGCAAACCTGAAATAATAGAGCTATCCTTAAGTTTGGGAACAGGTTATATTCTACTCATTAGTAAAGGGTAGTGCCCATTAGTTGGATTAATAAGAAATATAGATTATACAAATGGATAGTTGAAGCTTATAGAAGTTAACCTGGAAGAGCTTCAAGGGCAAATAGCCCAATTAGACCAGCTTGGACAAAAAGCTAAAGCTCCTAGGGCAATTTTATACTGATATATTAAACACGTTTGATAACTTTGTCAAAGAATGAAAACTAGACTTAAGCAGGGCCTATGATAGGTGTAGATAGAAAGCCAGTAACTGTAATTGTTCAAAATTTGAATCCAGAAGATAATAAGGAACCTTTGATAGGTTAAAGAAGAAAATGAAATGAGGGCTCCAATTATAGAGGATAACTTGTCAGATCCTGATGCTAGGGTGTTAGACATTCTGTATACTTTGCTAAATTAATATTTTCCCTTGGATCAAATCATTACTGGCCACAAAAAATATAGTAGAAATCCTCAAAAATAGGAAAAAATTTTGTCATTCTAATTTAAGATTGACTTTCTAAAGTTGTCTCATGGATCTTAAATGGATGTTAATCATAATTGGATAAAATAACCCTACCAAATCCATGCTGCATTTTGTTTTGTAGTGATTAAATCCTGTGTGTTTCCATATACATCTTTGCGAGTTCATTTTAAATACATGCATAAGATTGCAGTGGATTAAAAACACTCCAGAGATCCACCTTAAGTCTTTTAGTGAGTAATCTAACACAAAGCTTTATTTATCATGATTCTCAGTAAAGAAAGATATGACTAAGAATCACATTTTGCTGGTTTGAGTTTTAAGCAAAGTAATTACATCTATTATTGATAGCGTTAGCTTGAACTTCACTCTATTCAAGCCGGAAAGTAACTCAACGTAATAGGATTCTCTTAAACCCCACCTCATGCTTATTACATGGATTCAGATATTTCTAATCAAATCTTACATCCCTTGGAAACATAACAACCAATTGTAACCATAAAGCTGAAATAGCATAGCTAACATAGAAATGTGTAGAATCTTCCTCAAATCATCTTCAGTATTATGGACTGAGAGCCAGGGATCTGTCAAAGCTTCATTTCCCATATACATTATTAGAAATATTTGATTGATAACCTGTCTTAGGATCTTCAAGTTTCTAGCATGCCATTAATTCATTGTTTCATTTTAATTCTACTTACTGGTGTTTATATTTGTATTGTATTTATCTGTATCCTGATATTGTATACCAACAGCATTAATTGAATTCTCAGTTATAGCCAGTAGAGGGAGGTAGGTAGAAGTATAATAAATTGTAGTATTCCCTTTCAGGCCTGTTATTCCAAAATTACCTACTTAGTCTTCACTAGCCTGAAACCTAGATAGCTAGATAGTGATTTCCATTAGAATGAAGTGCTCTGGAGAGTTAAGTTTCCTTAGAGGCAGGCAATAAGCACTGCTGGCTATATAGCAAAGTCCTGTTTGTAATAGAGAAAACTAGAGGTATTTAAAAATAGATGTTAGTTAAGTGAAAATTGATGGTGCTTAATGTATAGCTTAGGAATTCATTTGGATGTTCACCTTGGCAGGTTTTTCCCAGGTTAATTCCATGACTTGTAGAGTGGGGCAACCACACTGAATCCTTACTAATGCTACAGATCCTCTAATAATTGAAACTATTAACCACCCCAACAGAAAGCATACCTTTTGAAGGTATGCTTTGGGGCAGGAATGTGAGGTTTATATAGTTTCTTTTACCATTTGTCCTTTCAGGACTGTTCTTTGCCAGAAGTCATTTATATCTTTATAGAGGTAGGGAGACCCTAAGTCTATTTATATTAGACACTTCCTTTGTTTATTGTTTTGAAAATGGTTAATGTTGAGGTGTAAAAGTTTTCTAAGTTAAGGCTTTTAGCTGTACATAGATATTTAATGGTAGTTTTGACACTTCTTATTAGCTACATGAATAATCTCATAGATGCTATAAAAATATCACCATGTTTTCTTACATGTATGTAAAGATAGTGCCAGTAGCTCTGTATCTTTTGATTTACTTACTTTTCAGTTGTAACAATGCATTTCTGATTGTTCTTCCTTTCATCTTTACCCTTTTTCCATGGATTATATTTGTAAAATGATTAGTCCATATTAATATTGCCTTTAAGGTTATGAAACTACAAAATCAGCTGGTTTATAATGGGATTGAACCAGGAAGGAACCTTTATCTCAGCTTAAAACTCTAAGCAACTAAGTTTAAAGTAATAAATGCACTAACATTTTTATTTAATATTCTGTTATAATGCAGAATTTGGTGTGAGGAGGATTAATCGTGATCTTTTCCCAGTGGTATTTGCTAATGAAACAGAAAGAGCAGGGCAGCAAAATCTTCTCATGCATTCCTCCAAGGCAACAATATTTGAGGTTCTAATGTACAGTTCATTCTTCAGACCTTTCTAGATGAGCATAATGTTAGGTAATCTTAATTGCCAAGTCAAATTTAAAATACCATGCCATTTTCTGCATGAAATTTGCTTTATTTTTCATGCTTAGATTATTTAGCTTAGTGAAGCAGTTTTTAAAATCCAAACAGAGACTTTGGGTTGGAAGTATGAGCTGACAAACTGAGTTTTAAGCGTGAGATTTGTTGACTAAAAATGATGATTTTCTTCATGTTTGTTTTTCACTTCAAAATGTTTTGCCTCTCTCCCCTATCCAGTTAACACACTGTTAAATGTGAAATTGAGCGAGACAGAAAATGGCAAGCACGTCTCTATATTGGATCTACCTGGCGACATTCTTATCATCCCTCAAGCCACCCTCGGGGGAAGAGTAAAAGGAAAGAACATGCAGTATCACTCTAACTCTGGAAAAGAAGAAGGGTTAGAACTTTATTCTCAATTTGTGACTCTATGTGAAAAAGAATTAGCTGCCAACAGCAAGTGTGCTGAAGCTGGGGTTGTAGTGGAACATGGCACTTACGGGAACAGGCAGGTGTTAAAGCTGGATACCAATGGACCATACACACATTTAATTGAATTTTGAAAATTAAAAATTAGTTTCTGTAGCTGTTCTATGGTATTAAATGATCTGAACTATATTAAGGTTTTCTTACCCTTCATCTTGAAAACACTAATCTGCAGCATTTTTAGACAAGAAAATCCTGGGTCCCTTATATAACTCTGCAACCTGCTAATTGGGTGACCTTGCCAAGTCACCTAAACTGTGATCTCAGTCACCTTTTGTCCTGCTTTCTCCTACCCTTCCACTTGAAAATTTGAGAAATGCTGTCTATTGACTTCATAGTCATTAAGCAAATGTTCTTAGCTGTATTTTTAAAGTTACATACATTTTAAATATTTTACAATGAAGAAATTTGTGGTATCCAGGGAAATACGTTTATTATGCTCTCATTTGTGTAGTATGTGATAAAAATAACTATTTGTGTTAAAATTAGGTAAAATCCAACACAAACCATTTATAACTTTGTCTATTTTAATATTTATATTTTCCATATTTTGAATCAAAGTATATGTGATTCGTCATTCCTTTTATAATATGTATCAAAATGTCACATAGAAATGTTTGTGCATTGTATTACTTTCCAAGGACATATAGATGCTTTACATAATTTTAGGAATCTTTAGTTAACATAGAAACAAGGTATAGGGGATTAAAAGTTGTTTTTATTAAACATACCCATACAGATGAGTTAATGTTCGGCTTCTCAGTTTTAACCAAAACCACATGTGTCTCACTTTCCATCTTTTTTTTTTCTTTTTGAGACTCTCAAAAAAAAAAAAGTTGGAAAGGAGACAGACACCTCAGTCTACTGAGTAGCAGGAATTACAGGTGTGTGCCATATCTTTGGTTTTTAAAGAACTAGTTTATGAAATTAGTGTTAGTTCATATATTTTTTAGGAAGTCCCTTTCCTGTTGAATTAGATTACTATAAAAGGAAGAAAAAGGGAAGTTTTCTCCAGGAATAGTTTGAAAACAAATTGACTTATTCATTCACATATTATCTGCTTGATGGTTTGGAGCCAGTGTAAATTTTTCTGAATTGGTGAATGTTGTGGCCTGGCTGTTTATGCCTCACCCTGAAATTTATATGTTGAAGCTCTTATCCCAGTGTGATGGTATGTGGAGACAGAGCCTTTGGGAGGTAATTAGGGTTAGATGAGGTCATGAGGGTGGGGTCCTCATGATGAGACTGGTAGAAAAGGAGCCACCCGACAGTTTGCTCTCCCCACACCACCCCATTCCACCTTGTGAGCACACAGCGAGAAGTTGGCTGTCTGCAAGCCAGGAAAAGAGCCATCACTAGAAACTGACCATGCTGACACATTGATCTTGAACTTCTAACTTTCAGGACTATGAGAAAATAAATTTCTGTTGTTTAAGCTACCCAGTCTAAGGTATTTTGTTATGGCAGCCTGAGATGTCTAAAATAATGGTATAAGATAGATAGCTAATAAGATAAACTTTTCAAAGATGAGAGAGGAGGATATACAAGAAGTTGAAAGATGGCCGGGCGTGGTGGCTCATGACTGTAATCCTAGCACTCTGGGAGGCCAAGGCAGGCGGATTGCTGGAGGTCAGGAGTTCGAAACCAGCCTGAGCAAGAGCAAGACCCATCTCTACTATAAATAGAAAGAAATTAATTGACCAACTAATATATATAGAAAAAATTAGCCGGGCATGGTGGCTCATACCTGTAGTCCCAGCTACTCGGGAGGCTGAGGCAGCAGGATTGCCTGAGCCCAGGAGATTGAGGTTGCTGTGAGCTAGGCTTGACATCACGGCACTTACTCTAGCCTGGGCAACAAAGTGAGACTCTGTCTCAAAAAAAAAAAGAAGTTGAAAGAATAAATGAGTCAATAAAAGGTAGTTTTGAAAACTCCTCTGACCTGATTTTAAAAGGTGTTTTTTAAGAGTGAAAACCAAATAACATTGCTAATTACTGAAAAGGTGAAGAGATTAAATAAACATCCTAAGTAGCTGCTGAAAATTCCTTTGTGTCTTATAATTTCTTTAGATCTATGTTCTTAAGATACTTAAGTTTTTATTATCACAAAAAACTCCTATTTTCTCTTTACCCTTCCTGTATTATTCTATTTTGGAACTTGAGAATCAATAACTGGCTTGGTAATGAGCTCATGGTCCTTAACTTTTGCTTTATTGATTCACAATACAATTATTGAAATGTAATAAACTATTTATAAATTTGCAAACTCCAGTTTTCTTAAAGGTTCTCCAAAGAAGTGTATATGACTTTCAGAAAGATTGTGTCACCTATTTTAAATCATTTTGATTTTATGTCTAAGTGAAATGCTGACTCATAGGCCTAGTTTGCTGTTTTATAGTTCAAGCAATCGTCCTTAAAACATTTGCTTGAGTTACTTATGGAGGATAGCAATTTCAAGTACATGAATAGTTATTAAGCAGAAGGTGATGATCAACTTTGCTTAATTTCCAGGGAGGCTACAACAAGGGAAAAGGCAAGACAAATGGTGGATATGAAAATAGCTATATCTTAGCTTTCTGTACCTCTTTTGGCCCAAAGTGCTCAAAGAACCTTCAATAGATATTTTATCTTCACTATATATATATATATATATATAATGACAATAGTGCTATGGAAAGACAATGTTTAAATAATTTTCCCAAGGTAATATGATAGGATGGAATAATTTCCATCTTTTTGGATTTGACTCTCTTGCGAGAGTTGTTGAAATAGAAATTGATCTTGATAAAAGCTTAGCATCTCTTAGTGTGGATCACTAGAGAAAGAATAGCCAATAAATTGGTTTATTTATTTATTTTTTTGCCCACTTTGTCACCTGGGCTAGAGTGCTGTGGTGTCAGCCTACCTCACAGCAACCTCAAACTCTTGGGCTCAAGTGATCCCCCCACCTCAGCCTCCTGAGTAGCTGGAACTACAGGCGTGCACCTGGCTAATTTTTTACTAGTTTAGTAGAGACAGGGGTCTCACTCTTGCTCAGCCTGGTCTTGAACTCCTGAGCTCAAGTGATCCTCCAGCTTCGGCCTCCCAGAGTGCTAGATTACAGGCATGAGCCACTGCTCCCGGCCCCAATAAATTGGTTTATTTACTATAAATTAAATGCAGGCAGGTTTGTACCTAATTTAGGTGCCTTCTGCTTCTGATTTTATAAGATTCTAGAATGTTTCAAATAGAGTATCTAAATAAGATACTATTTTATCTGTCAATTTAGAAACCTCCTGGATTCAATTATAGAAAATACTCTGTATAAAACACAATGGGGGAAATGGAGGGTAGATAAAACCTATCTATTGGGTACAATGAACACTATTCAGGTGATGGGCACACTAAAGGCCCCAACTTAAGCATTATAAAAGGTATCCTCGTAACAACATTTGTACTCCTTTAATATTTTGAAATTTAAAAAAAAATGGATATGGTTTTAGTATCTTGAATAAACTTATATAAAGTAAAATCAAATACACTTTTACCATTCTGTTATTAATTCAAGTCATTAAAGAAGGCATACCATTTATGAATAATATCTGTACAAATGGTAATTTGTTGACTCCATAGTGAATGAATTCAATTTATTATATATCAAAATCAAATATTAGGCCGGGCGCGGTGGCTCACGCCTGTAATCCTAGCACTCTGGGAGGCCGAGGCGGGCGGATTGCTCGAGGTCAGGAGTTCGAAACCAGCCTGAGCAAGAGCGAGACCCCGTCTCTACTATAAAAATAGAAAGAAATTAATTGGCCAACTAATATATATATATAAAAAAAAAATTAGCCGGGCATGGTGGCACATGCCTGTAGTCCCAGCTACTCGGGAGGCTGAGGCAGGAGGATTACTTGAGCCCAGGAGTTTGAGGTTGCTGTGAGCTAGGCTGACGCCACGGCACTCACTATAGCCTGGGCAAAAAAAAAAAAAAAAAAAATCAAATATTATAGATGCCTCCCATGCCACTTGTTTTTGTGAGAATAAGAACTCACATTGATGTTTTAAGAGAACAAAGTCAGCCAGGCATGATGGCTCACGCCTGTAATCCTAGCACTCTGGGAAGCTGAGGCAGGTGGATCATTTGAGCTCAGGAGTTTGAGACCAGCCTGAGCAAGAGCAAGACCCCCGTCTCTACTAAAAATAGAAAGAAATTAATTGGACAGCTAAAAATATATAGAAAAAAATTAACCTGGCATGGTGGCGCATGCCTGTAGTTCCAGCTACTCGGGAGGCTGAGGCAGGACTGGATCACTTGAGCTCAGGAGTTTAAGGTTGCTGTGAGGTAGGCAGATGCCACGGCACTCTCTAGCCCGGGCAACACAGTGAGACTCTGTCTCAAAAAAAAAAAGAGAACAAAGTCATGTCAGATTTTTACTGTGATTAACATTGCAAAGAACCTGCTTTATGTTATAGCTGAATATATAGCCAAAAACAACCAAAAAACCCACACATGATACTCCAATGTCTTTAGAAATATCTGACATATTAATTTATTGAAATAAGACTAGTTTCTGAAAGGGGAGAACTACTAGAAAGGTAACATTTTCATTCTCAAGGCATATCTTGGCGATGACTTTAAACATTTATTTTGATAGTTTCCTAATTATTCTCCCTACTTCCTGTTTCTCCTATCTCTAAACCTTTTCTGTAGACCATCTCCAAGATAATGTTCCTAGAACATGTCTTTCTCTATAGCATTCTGCTGCTTAGAAGCTTTTATAGCTTCTCTTTATCTACAGAACAAAGTCTAATGGAGGTTGTCATGGACAACCTGGTTGTCAAAGTCTAATCTAATGGAGGGCTCTCCATACTCCTCAGGAGTGTATGAAATCACTCAGGAAGAACTGTAGAGAACTAATGGCAGAATCTTGAAAAATAACATGTAAAGAAAGGGCAAAGTGTAAGAGGAATATCAGAGAGGCAGAGAGAACCAGAAAAGTGTACTGTTAAAGACAAAGACATTATTAAATAGTGACAAAGTCAGAGAGGCAGAGAGAACCAGAAAAGTGTAGTGTTAAAGACAAAGACATTATTAAATAGTGACAAAGTCAGTGCCACATACTAGAGAAATTTGGATAACACAAAGACCAAGGGAAGACGTCTGAGCCTAGCAGTTGGGTTTTTTCAGAGCTTACGGAGTATCAGAGTATTTTCAATAGCTAATAGTAGGGATTCTTAATCTTTTGTTCTAGGGCACAGTGTCTCAAACTGTGTCAGTGTACCAAAATCACCTGGGGAGCCTATTAAGATGCAGTTTTCCTGGACCACGACAAACATACTAAATTAGGAGTTAAAATCTGTCTAATCACCAGTCTCACTACAGGTGATCTAGAGTACCCTGGAGTCCCAGAACCACTGTTACTCAGAAGTCTGTTAGCCCAGACTTCTAAGGCTGATATCAAGGTTTTATAATCTGGCTCCAGCTCAACTTTCTAAACTTTTTTCCCACCACTACTACCCTATAGAAATTCTTCAGTATAGCTCTATATATCTCTTAAATCATGCCCTTACCTAAATTGCCCTCTGCTCTCCTCTAAATCCATCATCATTCAAATTTAGCTCAAGTCAATCTCTTCTGACCCCATAGTAGTTCTCCTACCTCTATGTTCCTTGGCATTATGATCGTGACCCTTGTGACACGATGTGTCTGAAGAAATTGTGTACTTTGGCTTTAATTTTTTAATTATTAATACGTCTTGACTGCAAGACTATAATGTGGGATAAAGACAGTATAATAGTGGGCAGACATAGTACAGTGTAAACTTTTTTATCTCCAACAGGATTTCTGTAGGGCTGTGCCTGTGGTCTATGCTTAGTAATTCTCAGTAAATATTACCTGAATTAATATAGAGATATGTTAGTGCCCAGAATACTCTTGATTTTGGTTCAGTGATGCCACTACTTTATACATAGATTTCCTTTTTTGAGACAGAATCTCACTGTGTTGCCCAGGCTAGAGTGCCATGGCATCTGCCTACCTCACAGCAAACTCAAAATCCTGGGCTCAAGTGATCCTCCTGCCTCAGCCTCCCGAGTAACTGGGACTACAGGTATTGCCACCATGCCCGCTAATTTTTTTTCTATATATGTTTTTAGTTGGCCAATTAATTTCTTTCTATTTTTAGTAGAGATGGGGTCTCACTCTTGCTCAGGTTGGTGTCGAACTCCTGACCTTGAGTGATCTGCCCACCGCGGCCTCCCAGAGTGCTAGGATTACAGGTGTGAGCCACCACGCCTGGCCTATACATAGATTTCTCAGTGTGAGAATCTGTCTTAAAAAAATAAAGGAGGAATCAAAAATCACTCTAAAATTTCACATATGGGTTACTAGAGAATATGAATCCAGATTTTAACATACTGAGTTTTGAAGTACCGTAATGTCTACCCAAGTAGAAATGTC